CCCGCCCCGCCGGTTCCCGTTCCCGTTCCCGTCCCGGTCCCTCCCGTCCCCCCCTCCTTCCCCGTCCCCCCCTCCCCGCTCGGAGCTGGGCGGCGGGCGCAGCGCTCGGGGCTGCGCGGAAAGCGCGGGGCGGATCCCGGCCGGAGCGGGGAAACGGGCGGGAGGCAGGAGGGAGGCAGGAGGGAGGGAGGGAGGGAGCACCGGACACAGGCACCGGACACAGGCAGCCGCCGTTCAGGGCTTTATTTGCAAATACGGCCGCGCTACAGGCGCCCGCAGAGGCGACGGGACCCCCGGGCTGCGGTGAGCTGGGGGGCTGCAGGGCAGGACCAGCCCCCGGCCCCTTCGCCGGTCACTAGCAGGTGGCGTAAGCGTTGGCCCTCTCTCGGATCTCCTCCAGCAGCCCCCAGACCCGCTGCTCCAACGCCTGCAGTCGCATCGCCTTCGCCGCCATCACCCGCTCGTTGGCCCCGAAGTGCTGCTCCAGCTCTGCGGGATGGGGGAATGGGCAGGGTGCAGCCCCCCCTCTCTGTGTCCCCAGCCCCCCACCGTGTCCCCAGCCCCTGTCACCCCTGGGGCACAAAGCCGACGTGCCCAGGGACAAGGGGAGACACGCACAGGGGAGCGGGCACCCAGCGGTGTTGGGATGGTGGGCAATGCCCCACGCCATACTCTCCCCCCTCACCTTCCAGCTTTCTCTTGCTGTTGTTGGCCTTGTCCAGGAGGTCCCGGGCCTCCGCGTTCAGACGCGTCACACGCTGCAGGGCCGCACTGGGCACCCCATCCAGCCTGCTCAGCTGGCCCTTCAGCATCATGTAGCGCTGCGTCACCTGGGCCAGGTCCTGGTGGCACAAGGGCATGGTGAGGATGAGCCCCCCTGGGACCCCGTACCCCTTTGGTGCTGCACGGCAGCCAGGCAGGGCTAGAGGTCACCTGGCTGAGGGTCCCCGAGGCGGCAGTGGCACGCTGCGCCCCGTCCCTGGCTTGCTGGGCCAAACGGCGGGCGTCCTGGCCCTGCTCCTGCAGGGTGGTGACGTGCCGTGCCAGCTCCTGCAGCCGCTGTTGTGCTCGAGACTCCTTCCCCTCCAGCGCCTGCAGCCTGCGCTCCGCCTGGGCAGGCACGGGCATCGGTTGCCGTCAGGCACTGCGACCGCCGCACCCACCGTGCCAGCCCCACCACTTTGGCAGACCCACAGCACCGCCCCACATCATCCACGGCCCCCCCGGCACAACCCCACCACCCTTGGTGTGCCCATGGCATCAGCCTGGCTCTCCACGGCACTAATCCCGTTACTCCCAGTGCACCCATGGCACCAACCCTATTGCTCCAAGTGCCCCATGGCTCTCATCCCGTTGCTCCCAGTGCACCCATGGCATCAAACCCACCACTCCCAGTGCCCCCATGCCACCAAGCCCTTTGCCTCCAGCATGCCCCAAGCACCACCCCGCTCCCCAGCCCTGCTGGCAGCATCAATTCTGCCCCGCAGCCCTGGTTCCCTCACCTCCTTGGCTCTGCTCTCAGCTGCCCGGATGGCATCCTTGGCGCTCTGCAGGGCACTCCCTGCTGCCGTCACCTGCACCCGCGCAGCATCCAGCGCCCGCTGTGTCCCCGCCAGCTCGTCCCTCACACCCTCCGCTCGCTCCCTGCAGCAGCACGGGCAGTTCCAGCCCCTGGCAGCACTGTGGGACAGACCCTCATCCCCTTCCCTCCCCGGCATGTCCCCCGCCACTCACCGGGCATCCTGTCCCTGTGCCAGCAGCCCCCGTGCTGCGGCCAGCCCCTGCGCCGTGCTGTTCAGCACCGCATCCACTCCCTCCAGCTGGCCGATGCTCTCCTGCATCTCCCGCAGCAGCTCCTGGATCCGGCTGGGGCTGCTGGGCAGGGAGATGTTCAGCACCTGCCGGGCCACCAGCTCGATGCTGGCAGGGTCAGCTCCCTCCTCTGTGGGGACAACGGCAGCGGGGTGGGCTCGGGGTGGGCGCGCTGATCCCCTGCCGTGCCCTTGCCCACCCCGTGCCACCCCTACCTGCCAGGAAGGCCTTGATACGTTGGATGAAGTCCCGCAGCTGGGCCGTCGCCTTCTCCGCGCGGCTGCGGGTGGCCTGCGAGCGCCCCAGAGCCTCCTCCGCCCGGCTGCGCGCCCCCCGCGCCAGCTCCTGCACCTCCTGCATCTGGGGGGGTGGGCACCAGGCTGAGTGAGGGGCACGGGGCGGCCCCAGGGAGGGGACACTCGGGGACATGCATGGGGAAAAGATGGGGGCGTGCAAGGGAGCGTGGTGGGGTGTGCAAAGTGGCACGGGGGGCACGCAAGGGGGCATGAGAGGTGTGCAACAGGGTACAAAAGGGTATGGACATAAAGGGGGTGTGCAAGGGGGTGCAGCAGTGGTCCAAGGGGGGACACAAGTGGCACAAGGGGCATCTGCAAAGGGGCATGAGGGTCATACAGGGGGGGACATGCCAAGGGGCATGGAAAGGGCACAAATAGGACATGGAAGGGGACATCCAAGTGGCATGAAAAGGGCACAAGTAGGACGTACAAGGGGACATCGAGGTTGCATGAAAAAGGCATAAGTGGGACATGGAAGGGGACATGAAAGTGACATGGAAAGGGCACAAGCAGAGCATGCAATGGGACATGCAAAGTAGCACAGAAAGGGCCCAAGTGGGTCATGGAAAGGGTCACAAGAGGACCCCCTAAGAGTGCCACACAGAGCCACCACTCCTACCTTCTGTGCCACAACACCCAGCTGACCCAATGCCACCTCCAGCTGCTGTGAGGTGTTACGGGCGCTGCTCAGGGCTCGAGCCGAGACGGGCAGTGCCCCCATGCACCCTGTGCCACCACAACGCCGTGTCCCCATGCTGTCTTGGCACAAGGCTCCTCCACAAGGTGCTTGCTCGCAGCTCTGGTCCCCAGGAGCCCCACAGATCTGCAGTGATGCCAGTGGTGGGGATGGCAGCTCAACACTGCTCAGGGGGGGAGACCCCCATGCCAGGGCGGCCCATGGGTTTTGCCCGTGTGCCGCTTGGCACAGGGATCCCCCTCCGTGTGCCCATTTACCCCACACCGGTCCCACTCTCACCTTCTCATTGATCCTGGTGACACTGAGTCCCATCACCCGTTTCTGCACCTCCCGCAAGGATTTCTGTGCCGCGGCGGCACCACGGCGGAAAGCGTCTCCCCGCAGCCGCAGCACCCGCTCGGCCGCCCGCCGCGTCGCCCGCGCCTCGCTCAGCTCACCGGCCGTGCCGTTGGCCACCGCCTCCGCCCGCCGCGACTCCTCCACCGATGCCAGGAGGCTGCGGTAAGACTCTGCGGGTGCCGGTGTCAGGGCGCACCCGGGACGGTGGGCACCGAAGCCCCCAGTCCTTGCCGGCTGCTCTTACCGCTGAATCCGGCCGCTGCCACCGCGCCGAGGAGGGTTTGGAGGTGGGAGACGGTTCGGTTGAGACCCCCCAGCTCGCGGCTCAGCCCGGCCAGCTGGTCGCCGTGCCTCACGTCTGCCTGCGCCAGCTGATCCAGATGTTGCTCCAGCTCTTGGACCTGCTTCCAGAAGTCGTCCAGCTCCATCCTTTGGTGGGGAAAAAAAAGGGGTCTCAAGCCTTTTTGGGTGACAAAAGGGGGTTTCCCCCAACCCCAGCCCACCGTGTGCACTTGCCTGGTGCCATCCAGCCGCTCAAGCAGCCCATTGAGGAGGGGGCCACTGGGGCTGTCCCCCTTGCCCAGCAGCTGCTCCACACGCCTCAGGTTCTCCTCCAGTGCCCGCAGGCGGCTGGGGCTGAGCATGGGCATGGACCCCCCTTCCTGCAGCGCCTGTGCCTGCTCCCCCAGGCGCAGTAGTGATTCCCGCAGGCTGCCCAGGGCCAGGTCCCAGCGCCCGAAGCAGGGGTGGCAGGGCGAGCAGCGGGGGAAGGCCTCCTGGTAGCCCCGCTGGCAGCGGTCACAGCGCAGCCCCCCGAAGCCAGGTCGGCACCGGCACTGCCCACTGGACTGCTCGCACTGCGGGCTCTCGGCACCCAGCGGCTCACAATCGCAGGCTGCAGAGACAGGTGGTGGCATGTCCTGGCCTCCCCAGGGACCACCACGTCCCCAGAGTGCCACCATGATCCCAGTGGTCCACTGCGCCCCCCTCCATCTCCAGGGTCCCACCATGTACCCAGGGTCTCCTGTGTCCACATAATCCCACCACGTACCCAGGGTCCCCTGAGTCCCCTCGTGTCCCCAGACACCCGCCATGATCCCAGGGTCTTCCATGTCCCCAGCATCCCGCTATGGGTCCAAGGCCTCCCATGCCCAAAAGGTCTCACTGTGTCCCCATGATCTTGCCATGTCCCCAGGATCTCCTGGGACCCCAGAGTCCCCCGTGTCTCCAGTGTTTCCCCAGGGTCCCCATGTTTAGAGTCCCACTGTGTCCCCATGTCCTTTATCTCCCCATTGTCCCACCACATCTCCAGCACTCCCAAAGTCCCTAGAGTCCCACCATGCACCCTCAATCACCCTCTCTTTCCCCAAGACCCCTCATTCCCCGGGGACCCCGTGTCCCCAGACACCCCACCTCCCCAGAGCCTCTGCACACCCCGTCCCTGTGCCATGCCCTCACCTCGGCACTCCCGCTTAGGGTCTCCCCAGTGATACTCCTGGCACTGGGAGCAGACGCGGCCCCCGAAGCCGGGCCGGCACTGGCACTGCCCCGTCACCTGTAGTGAGAATGGTGTGCTCAGCCAGGCAGCTCACCAGGCACTGGGATGGCAGTGCCAGGGTGCTGGGGAGGGGGGCTCACCGCATCACAGGCGGGGTGCAGGGCACGCGTGG